TACTATAGTATATAAAATCTGAAAACATAGAGTTAAAGATGCAATAAAGAGTGAAAAACATTAAAATCTAAAAAAAAATTATTATTAAACATTAAATATTCAAAAGAACTTTATTAATCTTTTAATATAACAACTACATCTAATTTCTTGATCAAAAAATCTATCATTATACAAAATTCAATAAGACTAACATATGTTTGATTCTATTAAATGATCGGCCACCCCAATAAATCGCCAAAATACCATAAACCCAGATGCAAATCACAGAATTTGTATTAATTCTATTGGATGATTGGCCATCACAATAAATTGTCATATACAAAATACTATATAGTAAACCCAGGTGCGAATCACAAGATCTGTATTAATTAAACCTGGGTTTTTTCAGATATTTAGACTACTTATTAAAATGCAAAATGTGCATACTTCTCAAAGTTTTTCCTTTAATGTCATGAACTTTTGGCTGCATGCTAGGCCTAAGATCTATTATAGTTTTAAAATTAGTGGAATATAAGAGACCCAGATCTTATATATAGCAATTTACAGTACTTATTTATTATTTTGAAACTCTCAATACAATAGAAAACAATAAAATATTTTTTATTTGAAAAGAATTTGCACTAATATGTTTCGTATTCTAAACATAATACTACAATAAACATTCAAAATATAAGTACATAGTTATTTAATATTTTAATGATCTAAAATTATATATAATCTCTTTTTTGTCTCTATATTATTAAAATATATAAATAACTCCAGTGCCTTTTCTGAAATAGTTAATAATTCCATATTTTCATTAAGTTTTAAAAAATTTCCAATTTCTAAATAATAAAGAATAGCCAATAAAAGCAAATGTGAAATAATAGAATAACCTGAACTAGAAAAACATGAAAAAATATTACGCTGAAGAGAAAAAAATATTTTGGCTAAAATATAAGATAAATCATCAATCGAATAATGTTTGGAAATAAATGAATGATAGTTGCTATTTTTATAATAAAGGGCAAGTATGTATGTGATACAAATTTTTTTTTCATAATATGCAATCGCAAATTCTCCTTGTTTTATCAAATGTGTTTCATTAATATTCGCAATAGTAATGTTTGGAATATCTAATAGAATAAAATATTAAAATAATTAAATAATTTAAATAAAAGATAAATATAATGGGGTTTCAGAATTAACTTATTTTGAAAATAAGTAAAAATTTAAGATTTATTTTCTGTTTTAAATTCTGAATCAGAAAATTAAATAGACATAGCTAGTAATAAAATTAGCTTCTTTTGATAAATATCTACTAGTAAGTAATGATAATAAGTATATACTTTAAATAAATCAGATTTATACATTGCTTATTTTGAAATAAATATATCATCTATTTTATTTAAATTGGATGTTGAATCATTAATTTTGAAACCCTCAATATTATTAATTTACTTACTAAGTAATTGCTAATTATTAGAATCTGATAAATGATCTAGCTGTGATCTTAATTTTCATCAATTTTGATATGGAATACCTGGACATGAAGTTTTATTAGATGAAAGATATGATACCAAACTTTGAGTATAATTTGCATTTAATTTTTCAAATTGATTTTGATTTTTATTTGTTCGATGTTCCATTGGCTGACTTGTATAAGCTTCATGTATTGCCGCAATTTTATTAATACTATCACAGTTACTTTCTCATGATTAATATCATTTATTTTAATAAATGATTCATTATCCAAGATATCAGATGTAATTGTGCTGATGAATTTAATACTGGTTGTAAAATAAATGAAAGATTTGATTGTCCTTCTTCATAATCTAAATAAGAACCATCAGATAACTCCCAATTGTCCTTATTAATTTCAGTTGCAGCTATCAAAATAAAAAAATTTTCAATATTAGAAATATCATCTAAACTTTCTTGATCAGAATTAATACTATTTAACATTTCGTTGCTATCATTTTCATCATCAAGGATTAATGAATTATATAATTGAAGAGAAATAGATATCATATCTAATATATTCTTAGTTAAAATTTTTGCATGTTTAAATGCTTGATGAATTACAGCTTTAATTTTTTCATTTGTGGGCTATCGTCGCAAATTATCAATATGCTTATAAATATTATCATCCTAATAATGAGAAAAATAACCTATAAAATACAAATTGTTAATAAATAATATATAGCATATGATATTTAATATCAATAAATTATACTTGTTGCAGAAGTTTTCTCTTTAAAAACTGAAATTAATTCAAAGGTATATGCTTTATAAAGATATGATATTTTAGGAACTAAAGCGATAAGACATTAAATAGAAAATCTGATAATAATTGATATGCTAATTCAAAAAAATGTTCGCAGCCTTCAGAACCATACATCCATAGTACAAATGAATATGTTGGATAAAAATCATGATATGCAATAACAAGTAGTATCTAAAAAGAATTGAGTTAATATAAAACCTTTAAATTACTGCGCTTTTCAAATTACTGTAATCATGTATCACATATTATAAGAGAATCTGAAAACTGGAAATTTTAAAAATACAAATCTATGATTAGCTAACTAAATCTTTATTAAAAGCTTACCATTGATTCTATAAGACTTGTTAAAATATTAAATGTTTTACTCGCTAAAAAATTTTTTTGTAAACTCATAAAATCAAAACTTGTATTTGCACATACTTGTATATGATGTTTCCAATTGTGTAAAAAAAAGTAACCAAGCATAACCATATAATATCGATCTAATGGTTTTATTTCTCAATTTTAAAATGCATCTATAAGTTCATCTATTTATTAAAAAATTACTATATATCATTATTAAATTTAAATTTATAATTTAGATTAAAAAATATATATTAATATA